TAAGGAGTCAAAGTGAAGAAAATTGTATATTGTATTTTTCTCTTCTAAAAAGTTACTGAAGTTCGCAATATAAAATACTAGTCAAAAAATCTATCCCAAGATACAGTATAGATTTATCTTATAAACAAGGGCAAGCAATATAGCTCAGGGGCTCAGGGCCTACCTGGCAACTGTGAGGTCTTGAGTTCGATTCCCAGTACTAAAAATATCAATAATTTAATAAACTGTACAGTTTCAGTGTGAAAAAGAGTAAGTGGATGATTTGAATTTTTCATTACATCTGTAATTGTATAGCAGTCATAACCAACCTAGTCACTTCCAGTCCTATTGTGATAATACTTTACCATGAGCTCTTCCTTCTTAGTAAATCTTTAAGTGTATGTCTTAGTCACTTTTACGTCACTGGACACACTCCTCACACCCACAACTTAAAGGAAAAGAGGCCTCCCTTTGCTCATAGTCTCCGTGCATCCGGTCCACAGTCAGCTGGCTCCAGAGCAGGCGGTGCCTAGCGGACTGTGCGGTGGGGGACCACTGCTCACTGCACGGCAGCCAGGAAGCAGAGAGAGGGCAGAGCCCGGAAGGGGCAGTCTCACCCAGTAACAGCCCCAGGGCCCTCGACTGACAGCCAGGCCCCGGCTCCTAACAGCACGTTCTGCCGGGAGCACATCGGTGGGCCACCCCACCCCTGAGCGTGGCACCACTGTGATCCAGTCACCTTCCAGAAACCCCACCTCCGACACAGCAGGCTTTGGGAGAACGTGCTAGATCTAATCTGTAACCATCTACAAACAGGCTTGTTAATTATAGGCGTACGCTCGCTCGTACAGCGAATCTCTAGAACGCAGGGATCGCTCATACTGAGACTTAGTGCCTGTAGAACAACGCCTCATTTCCCCTCGCTCCAGCCCCGAGCAACCACCGTTCTCTGCTTCTATGTGTATTGTAGCTACCTCAATAAAGGTTATCATGCGCTATTTGTCCTGTGAGTTAGCATAACATCCTCAAGTCATTCACTTGTCGTACATTGCAGAATTTCTTTTTTAAGGCTAGCTGAATAGCATTCCACTGTACTTATATACAACATTCTCCTCATCCACTCATCTATCAATATACCTTTATCTCGGTGGTGCACGCCTTTAATCTCCGCACTTGGGAGGCCGAGGCATGAGGATCTCCGTGAATTCAAGGCCAACCTGGGCTACCCGGCTGTCTGTGAACAAGTATCTGAGACATCAGTTGCTATTTTTTGGATAAAGAATACCCAAAAGTGGGATTGCTAGATAACGATAGTTCTCATTTAATTTTTTTGGACCATCTATTCTGTTTTTCATGGCGGCTCTATCATTCTACATTCCTGCCAGTAGATTCCAATTTCTCCACATCCTTGCCAGTAGTTACCTTTTATCATTTGATTTTATCTGATAATTTAAACTCAACTGTTATTTTTTTAAAGGCATTTTGAAAGTTTATAAGGAGGATTTTATTGTAAAAATAAATATTTCAGAATTGAAAAGTTTTTTGTTTTTTGGTTTTTTGGTTTTTTGGCAGAACTGGGGATTGAACTCAGATCCTTGCACTTGCCAGGGAAGAACTTACTCTACTGAGCCATCTCCCGGCCCTGAAAAGTTTTTCTGTAGTTTATTTCTAGGGAAACTAGAAGTAATTTTTTAAAATTTTTATTTAAACTAGGCTACGGTTTATAAAAGCAAAAACTGGGAAATTGTAATTTTTTTAATGTACTTAGGACAGGGTCTACAGGATCTTACTATGTAGATTGGACTTGTAGTACTCTGCTTGTGCTCAGCCTCCCAGAGAGCTGGGATTACAGGCTCATGCCACCATGCCCAGTCTCAATCGCCATCTTAGCACGCCCCATGTGTGGGGCTGGAATAACATGCCGGGGATTGAACCCCGGCCGCTGTGCTCAGCCTAAGCAGGCACTTATTCTGCTGAGCTATGACCGGCCCTGGAAAATTGTAAATTATGCTCACTCAAGAAATAAATTATTCCTCTGTAATTCCACCAAATATAAAACTGAGATTGTTCCTTTGTGTTTTTCAGAATCAAAATCTTAGACATGTTTAGCGCTCATAGTCTGCAATCTGTGTTCTCCCGGCTCATTGAGCCACCACACGCCGATTCTCTTCGCGCCTCCAAAATCCGGTTACGAGACTTGGGAGCACTAACCCTGGATGAGAAATTGACCCCTCTAGGGTATCACCTGGCCTCTCTGCCGGTGGACGTGAGAATTGGCAAGCTGATGCTTTTTGGGTCTATCTTTCGCTGCCTGGATCCTGCGCTCACCATTGCCGCCAGCTTGGCCTTTAAGTCTCCTTTTGTAAGTAAACAATATTCATCTACACTGGAATTTATGTTATCTGTGCGAGGACCGTGTAGGCTCCAGGGAGGTGTAATCCCCAAAATCTGATCTCAAAACAGATACATGGGGCTGGGAAGATAGCTCAGTGGCATAAAAAATTGGTTAAAAGAGATATGTGCTCCAAATGAAGACTAAGAACTGGAGCGTCTGGTATGATGGCATACACCTGTAATCCCAGCACTCAGGAGGCTGAGGCAGGAGTGTCACTGTGAACTTGGGCTACATAGAGAGTTTAAGGCCTGCAGGAACTACATAGCGAGACCCTGTCTCAAAAAAACAGAAATGCTGGGCATGGTGTCGCATACCTATAATCCCAGCACTTAGGAGGCTCAGGCAGAAGGAACACTGAATTCAATGATGGCCTGCACTACATGGTGAGACTCTGTCTCAAACTGCCCCCTCAAAAGAACTGGCGCTATAACTTACTTAAAATAATGTGCTTTTTATATATCTACTGTATTTGATCAGTATAGCAAAATCAGAAAACACAAACTGTCTTGGTTGCTTTTCTTTTGTTGCTGGGACAAATACACAGCACCCAGACTTAAGGAAGGAAAGTTTTATTTAGCTCACAGTTTGTGGAGGTTTCAGTCCATATGTGGCTGGCTCCAAGGCAGAGTGGCACATGGCAGAGAGCAGCAGCTCATGGTGGCGGAAAACAGCAAGGGCAACAATGGAGGAGCAGAGAGCAGGCCTACTGTAAGCAGGGAGCCACCCCAGGGCGGGTGCGGCGCTCACACTGTAATTCCAGCATTGGAATCAGCGACAAACTAGAACAAACTAGAAGCCTACCCCATGACTGCAGGAGGTTTTGAGGGACATCTAAGATACAAGCCACAACACAGCCAACAAAAACAAGTGCCCCTACACAATTTGAAAAGACATAAATACCACTTTATATATAGGTTTAGTCCATGCCTCTTTTTCTGGTCTGTTAAGGTGGAAGATTGAGATATGGTTTTGCAATAATTCTTTTTTTTTTTTTTTGTCCTGGGAAAGCTATGCCTCTTGAGCAATTAACCATTTAAATCTTAGTTTTCTTTTTATCTGATTCTTAGTCCATATTTGCTCTAAGTGACTGCACTCATCATGGGGCTTGGTGCATGGGCACAGCACATCCTTACTGTGGTTACATCTTCCCATTCCCTCCCTCCCCTCGCCTTCCTTCTCTACTTCCCTTTCTCGTTTGCAGAGCCTGTCTCCTGTGCCATATCTTTGGTTTTACTCTTTAAATTATTTATGCTTTGTTTTGCATGGAAGAGAAACCATGTGATATTTGTGCTCGTGTCTGATTTTGCTACTGTGATTGCAAGCTGCATCCGTTTGCCTCCAGATGACTTGGATTTGTCTTCTTTGTGGCTGAGTACTCCACTGTGTACACTGCACTTTCCTTGTCTAGGCCTCTGTTCGGCGCATACAGGCCACTGCCCAGACTTAAGCTGTTGGGAGTGGTGCTGCTTTGAACAGGAGTGTGGACGGATCACGAGTGTGTGTGGGTCACAATGTGCAGGATCATGAGTGTGTGCAGATCACTGAGTACACAGAACACTCAGTGTACATGGATCACTGAGCGTGTGCGGATCACTGAGACATGAGGCCTTTAACTCTTTCAGAAAGAAACCTGGATGGGGCGGGCTGAGTCACACAGAATTTCTAATTTTAGTTTTTGAGGACTCTTCTCACTGGTTTCCAGAGGGCTTCTGTACTAGCTTACATTCCCTCCAAATGTGGAAGGGCGTCCTCTGCCCTGCAGCCTCAGCAGCATTTGCTACTGATTTCCAGGACTTTCTATGAATGTATTACACCCCCCAGTCACTCATTTCTTTTCTTAATTTCCATTGTGACTCACTCATCACCACACGATGGCATATGTTGTTTAACTTTCATGTATTTGTGGGTTCCTTGATTTATTTTCTGTTCTTTTTTTTCCTTTTTTGCAATACCAGGAATCGAACTCAGGACCTTGCACTTGTCAGGCAGGCACTTATGCCACTGAGCTATGTCCCTGGCCCCCTATTTTCTGTTATTTCTAATTGGGGGCCATAGCAATCACACAACGTAGTTTTATTATTTCAGCCCATTAAAATTTATCAAAGCCTGGCAGAGTGACTCTTGCCTGTAATCCTACACTTAGGAGGCTGAGGCAAGAGGATCACTGCAAGTTCAAGACCAGCCTGAATGGTATAGTGAAACCCTGTCTGAAAAGACCTAAATAAGCTTACTGAGCTTGCGTATGGTCGAGCACATGCTCAGTCCTCGGAGCGTCAGTGTCTTTCAGAAGAATAGGTGTTCTGCTGTTGTGGAGTGGAGCGTCATGATGCCTTTTTTTTTTTTTCCTGAGGCTTATTTTAGATAGGAGAAAGCTAAACACGGTCATTTCTTCAGTTTTTAATATTATACTTCATAGAATTGTAAACTCACACGTCTACAGAAGGATCTTATTTTTCTCATTGCTGAGACATACCTGACACCAAGTTAAAAGGGGAAAGGTTTATTTCAGCCTGGTTTGTGGAGGTTTCGGTGCCTACTCAGCTGGCTGCAAGGCAGGATGGCACATGGCGGAGGGGCAACAGTTCATGATGCCGGAAGACAGCAAAAGCAACAAGGGCAGAGAGCTTAAGAGCAGTCTGCACCTTTTATATTGTATCCTGTCAGCCAGGATTGGGCGGTGCCGATCCTGATCCAGTCAGGACTGAGCTAGCCATCACCCACCTTTCATCGCAGCAGCCTTAATCCCAGCATTGCACCATGAATCAGTCACATACCCTAGAGTCATTCATATCTACGTAAGCATGAGGCTTTGGGGAGACATCTAGACACAGGACCTTAGCCCAGCTTTTTTTTTTGCGGAACCGGGGATTGAACTCAGACCCTTGTGCTTGCCAGAGAAGTGCTTATTCCACTGAGCCATCTCCGCAGCCCCTACCCAGCTCTTTCATGTAAGAGCAGATGATAAAACGAAGCTCCAACAACTGACGTGCTGTGCTCAGAGACTTTCAGCATCAGTGTTGTAAAGAGAAGTTCCATTGCCTGTTTCTCAAATCATCTCAAGAAACTTCTGCTTTCTTTTATTGGAAAATGAAAAGATTTATTGGGAATTTTGTTATCATTAGCCAAATCAAGTCCTTGACCCTGTAGGCTCTGTAAACATAATGTTAAAAGCTCCCAGATGTAATCTTTGGCTTGCCTAAAAGGAAAGAATTTTACTTTCCAGTAGAAGATAAAGTTTGTTGCTGCTTGGTGACCTATAAAGTTATTCAGCTACACAGAAACTGGAGAGAAGTTGGTTTCAAGTGGTTTCCAGTGCTATTGCAGTGGCGAGAGCCTCGGCGTAACTCGCTTATGCTGGCAACTGCAAGCCTGGGGAGGAAGACGAACATTTTGGGATGAATACTATAAAAATAGAGGGAAACACTGCTTCTCGGTGGGGAAGCTAATGATATCCAAAGATAAGTGATGAACAAGAATCTAAAATGCACTTGCAAGGTCCTGGCATCATTGCCCAGCCCTGAAAAGAAAAAAATTGTAAAATAAAGATGCCGCAAAGGTAACAGAATTTTTTATGTAAGATGTAGTTTTTAGACTGAGTAGCTCTGGAGAGACTTGCCACTTGGAACCAGAAGGCCCAGAAGCGCTCAGGACAGAAAGGACCTTGGTTGCTGCTGTCCTTACTGTCCCCCCACCTAGCCGCTGAGGGTACCTTGTTCCATGGGCTTCCCTGAGGCCACTGGCCTCATCAGGAGGGAAGTACCATTTGAGACTTCACGCAGAATGTGTCCTTGACAGCCAGTTTTTCTCTCCTAGGTGTCTCCCTGGGATAAAAAAGAGGAAGCCAACCAGAAAAAGCTAGAATTTGCCTTCGCAAACAGTGATTATCTGGCCCTTCTCCAAGCATATAAGGTAAGTAGATAACCAAATAGGTACCTTAGGTTTGTGGACACAAATACAGAGTCACCTCATTTGATTCTCTCCAAAACTTAGGGGTGGCAGCTGAGCACAAGGGAAGGCGTGCATGCCAGTTATAATTACTGCAGACAGAACTTCTTGTCAGGAAGAGCTCTGCAGGTGAGTCTTGCCCACGGCAGTTCTGTTTCGTTCATTTCCCACTGGAGGTAGTTCATAGGAGGACCGGGCAGCGCCATCGCTCTTACCCTTTTTTTTTTTTCTTTTTTTTTTTTTTAATACAGTGCTGGAGATTGAACCCAGGGAATACTGAGCTATATCCTCAGACTTTCTAGGTTTTTTTTAGACAGAGTCCCCAAAGTTGCTCAGGCTAGTCTCGAACCTGTGATCCACCTCATTCTCCTGAGTAGCTGGGATTACAGGCATGTGGCGCCATGCCTGCCTGTACTTGTATCTTGACATCTAAAATGCTTTTTCCGGATGGTGCTTGGTTTTTGCAGCTGTGTAAATGGACTTCTGAACTATGCCATCAGGACTTTCTGCTGAAACTCTCAGCTCACCTGTTTTTTCACCTAGTGAAGACTGATTTCTTAATGTAGAAGACAGGGTAGCGTATCAGTGTGGTACAGGTTACTTCTCACTGGAATTTTCTCAGGAATTTGTGTGAGGCATTTTTAACCTCCACACACACACTGAAATGTATGTATTATTCTAAGAGAGATGACTCTTTCAGGAGAATCTCAAGAAGACTGACTCCTCAAAGCCAAAGAACTAAGAAGACCGAGCTGGACTTCATTTGCCTATGTGCATTAGACTCTGCTGTATGCCAGCGAGTGTATAACAGACGAAGGTTTGGTCTTCCATGCTTTCCGCCAGGGCAGTGTTTTAGGCCTCCTCCTCAGGGTCTGAGAAGGCAAACTAGTGATGGTGCACTGCCAGTTAGATTTGCCAGAGGAGAGTGAAAATACGTATAAATAGCCTGGCATATTTTTGCTATGGTGGCACACTCACAGTCCCAGCATTCTGGGAGGCTGAGGCGAGAGGGGTGCTAGATCAGTCCTGGCCTGGGCAACTTTGCAACTTAGTGAGACCATCTCTGAAAATGTGAAGGGGCTTGGGGTGGGGGTACGTTGCATTGTGAGTTCAGTCCCTGATGCTACAAAAAATCTAAAATAAATAAACCCAGGTCCTACCCAGGCCAATTAAGTTTGGTATCTCTTAATTATCATTCATTGGAGTTTACCAATTGAACTGAATAGGTATTGGTAATAAATACTTTCTCAAGTCTTCATTTAACATGTTTGAATATAAAAAATTGAGGTATTTTATTCCTTGGTAGTGTTTTGTTTTTGTTTTGAGACAGTCTCACAGTGTAGTCAGGCTGATCTTAAACTCATGATCCTCTTGCCTTGGCCACCTGAAAGCTGCATTTACAAGCACACGCCACCACTGTCTGGTGTAATTTTTGATTACTTTTTTTAAAAAAAAAATTATTGTTTTTCAGAGCCAGCAAGATAGCTCAGTGGTCTAAAGCGCCTGCTTAAGCAAGCTCAGGCAAAGCACAGGAACTGCAGTTCGATCCCTGGCACCAGATGCTACACCAGCCCCACACCCAGGATGAGCTGAGCCGGCCACAATAATAATAATAATGACAGTAATAATAATGAAATTATTTTTCTTCAGAAAATATATAGATTTCGCTGTGTTCAACTGTTTCACGTGTTCCCTCTTTTCATTAAGCTCTAGTCTGGGTTTGTTTGAGACAAGGTCTTGCTTTGTAGCCCAGGGTGGCCTTAAAGCCACAGCAACCCTCTTGCCTCTAAGCCCCATTTAGAATGCAGAATTCTTTTTATTCAGATCACAGTTAAGCTAGACACGGGGCGCATGCCTATAATTGCAGCATTCAGCTGAGGCAGAAGGACTGAGTGAGCTATGTAGCAAGACCCATCTCAACAAAGCTCAGAATAGACACTCTGACATGTTTAATGCTGCTTGTACTTTGCCATGTAATCCATGTGTACTTGAGGCATTCCAAGAAAACACTTAATTGTTATCAAGAGGCAGGGTAGTGGCAGCGGTGGCACACACACTCAGAGTCTTCACTACTCGGGAGGCTGAAACAGGAGGATCTGAAATTTGAGGCCAGCCTGGGCAACTTAGTGAGATCCTGACTCAAAAAAAATAGGGTTGCATTGTAGCTCAGTAGTGGAATACACCTGGGTGGGTTCATGCCCCAGTATCTTAAAAAGACAGGGGGAGCAAGACAGTGTTGCTTAATTTTCAGTTTCTTGAGTTATTATCTCCTTGTTTAGTGTTAGTACATAGCCTGTTTTGGTTTTGGTGTATTGTGGTACTGGGGGTTGAGCCCACGGATTCACACACACAAGACAAACACTGCTATACAAGACAGACACTCTCCTATTTTCTTAAAGCGAAGCTCTCTTGCCGTGTTGTCCAGCAGGCCGCTGGCTCTCGGGCTCAAGCAGTCTTCCTGCCTCAGCCACTCACGTGCTGGGATCACCGGTGTGGAGAGAGCTGTTTGAACAGAAGCTACAAGGAGAAGAAAGCTTCACTTTTTTTCCTCACACTGGTACTCAGTAACAAAAAATAGTGTGGATCGAAAATAATAATGCCCCCATCCCTGGCAACAGCTGAGAGTCGCTGAGACCGCACAGGGGATTGTTCTGCAGAGATCCGATTGGAGAGACCTGAGCCCTCCCGGCCCAGCTCAGGAGCAGAGAGGACACAAACAGAGCTGCAAGCCAGAAGACCAGATGGCACACGGTGCCACACACCGCTGCATTTTTTGCTGTCCTAAGAATTTCCAGGAGCATTAGACCTACCCCAACTCCAGTGAAAATAAATATGTAATGAACATTTAAATAAGTTATCCCTAGGTTTCCTGAAATTTTAAAATTACTAATGACTGTCTTTGTCTGCCATTTTTTATAAGTAGCAGTTGCCTTTTTGGGAACTATCAGACGGGCATCTTTCACCCCATTTGACAACACAGTATGCACCTCGCTGCTGTCTGGAGAAGTTGTATGGCTGTACAGCTGCTCGCTATTGTAAGAATAGATGCTCATCTTTGGCATATGGATGCCCTTTCTTAAAGATTTTTCCATTTTTTTTTTCAGGAAATGGCCAGCCTCAAACGACAATTCACTGAGCTGTTATCAGATATAGGATTTGTAAAGGAAGGGCTCCGAGCAAGAGAAATTGAGAAAAGGGCCCAAGGAGGAGATGGGGTCCTGGGTGCCACAGGAGAAGAGGTAAGGAACATGTGGTTTCTTCTTGTTTCTGTTCAGTGTGAGCATGAGTATCTGAAGTCAGGGCCAGCCAGATAGCTCAGCGGACTAAAGCGCCTGCTTACGCAGAGCACAGCGGCTGGGGTTCGATCCCTGGCGTGCCGTGCAGGCCCCGCCCCCAGAGTGAGCTGAGACAGTGACTCAGACTGGGGGTGGTGGCGCACACCTGTAATCCCAGCACTTGGGAGGCTGAAAACAGGAGGATCACTAGGAGTCCAACCTACGTAGAGACCCTGTACATCCTGTACTAAAATACAAAAAAAAAAGAAAAGAATATCTGAAGTTAGAACCGCTTGCAGATATTTTTCTTCACTTAAGCCTTATGAGCAGGAGGTTAGTGTGTGTGTGTCAGTCTGTTTGATTGTTTGCATACTAGGAATTGAGCCCAGGCCCTTCACACTAACTACATCCCCAGTTCTTTTTTAATTTTTTGAGATAGGATCTCATTAAGTTGCTAACTTCCCCAGGCTGGGTTCAAACCTTGGATCTGCCTACCTAAGCCTCTCAGAGTGCCGAGAATATAGTTGCAAGCCACCACACCTGTGCTGTGTGATACGCTTGATGTACTTCTTTCCAAAAACTTATCAGCTAATGCTTATGCAAACAGGAGTTTTTCTGTTCGTTGTTGCTACTGGGTTTTTTTTAAATTTCACAGTGGCATGTCATTAAAAAAGCTTTCCAGGGCTGGTGAGATGGCTCAGTGGTCTAAAGCACCTACTTAGAACAAGCGTAGCAAAGCACAGGGACCGCGGTTCAATCCCCCAGCACCACATGCCAGCCAGCCCCGCCCCCTGGTGGGCTGAGCTGGACACACACACACACACACACACACACACGCATAAATAAATAAAATAATAATTAGGAAGATAATTTCAAGATGAACTTTGTGCTCCCATGTTCTAAGCATGTGGTGATGAATTCCTGTAATCATAGCACTCAGGAGGTTGAGCCTTGTGGACTGCAGTGAGGAGGCTAGCGTGGGCTACATGAGACCCTATCTCAAAATAATAATATAATAATAGTAATAATAAGCAATTACCTGGGCATGGTGGCACACCCCTGTAATCCCAGCACTCAGGAGGCTGAGGCAGGGGAATTGTTAGGAGTTCAAGGCCAGCCTGACCTATATAGCGAGACCCTGTCTCCAGGAGAAAATAAATAATAAGAGCAATTAGAAATTCTGAATACCTCATGAGCCAGAATCTTTCTCTCCATCGAAATGAAGGCTACTGGCATCCCCTGGGGTCTTCCAAGGGCTCCTGAGCCACCTCACAGTCAGCTGGAACTCTTTGCAGATCTAAGAAAGGCCTTGTGGGCTTCTCAGACGGGGGTCTTATGTGACTGTTCCAGTAAATTATTTTTAACTCAAAAAGTTTCCTAGCCAACAAATAAAAATTAGAGGCTCTTATATTTTAAGATAGAAATAAAATGAATTATAAGTTTCAGAGCATGCTCTGAAATAGCTACATTGCTTGGTAAAAGTTCTCATACAATTAATGCCGTTTCTCTCACAGGCAAACTCTAATGCAGAGAATCCCAAGCTGATATCAGCTATGCTGTGTGCTGCTCTGTATCCAAATGTGGTGCAGGTAACCAAGCATTTTTTTCTGGGGGCTCTCATGTCTTGTTTGATTTGTAACCAAGGGGTAAATGTACAGTGTGCCCACTAATCATCTTACAGAGGGATACACCTAATTCATGGATTCATCAAGTGTATTTGGTATACATTTCCAATCCTTCAGTTCTCCCAGTCTGTTTAGATATCATTCAAGAACACATTGATTACATAAAATTAGGAGCCTTTTTAATCCTTCTGACATAGTATTACATTCCAAGAATTAGTGTGGGATAAATGTCAGTCGTATAGCTGTTGCAGAATTCAAGTCCAGAGAGGCTACTGGAGAAGGAGGAGGATTTATTTAGGTTAGGTGCACACCAGCTCAGTGGACTTGTGTCCAAAGGGCTAAGCCCCAAACGAAAGAAGGGCTGCCGTTATATGTGCGTTGCTGAAGGAGTTGGTCCCTCTAACAGGAAGAAACTTCTGGGTGGCTTAAGTTTACAGACGTAAAACAAAAGCAGTTTGTTAAGCTGCGTCACAACCTAACATAGCTTGGTAGCCTTACTTAGGCAAATCAGGGTGTTGTGGGAACAGGACGTTATAAAGCTTTATTTATAGGGACAAAAGTTACTGTTTTTATCTGCATTAGAATAAAGAATATCAGCTGTAGGGAGGGGAAGTTAGGGGAAATTCATCTTTTTACTGCTTCATCTCCCCTTTGATGTTTTCTATAAATGAGTTTTAGTAGCTTGTCATTCCCATTTACCCCATTATGGGGCGTCAGATTCCTATTGGGAAGAGGAAGAATTATAACAAATGGAAAAGGGCTTTGTGTTGTTTGTAACTGTGCTGCTCCTCAAGCTTTGGCCGTGCGTGGACCGGTCAGCTCCCGGAGCAAGCAGAGCGGGGCTGCTGTTTCCATCTTGTAGGGCCACCATTCGAGCGGTCTGCACCCTGTTGTGTGGCCTGCCTGTCCTGGGCCGCCAGTGTCAGCCAGCAGTGATGGTTCTAAGGCGAGCCACGTCTTTTCATTTGGAGAGCAGTTCGGAAGTTTCCAGGGTGGAGATCGGGGATGAGGACAGTGGCCAGGCCTCTCGGGTTGCAGGCTGTCACAGCAGACTGCTGTGCTTTTCTGGCTTGGCTTCCTTGGTGTCCCCTGGAGTGTATGACAGCCACGTTTTTGTCCCTGTACAGGGATCAGGAGCTGTATGTAGGAGCTGTAAAATCTCTTTTGTACTTTTCCTCCCGAAGTTAAGAGCCCTCTTTCCCTATATTGTGCTCCATGACCATGTAATGTAATGCAGCAAAGCCATATTGGAATCCACATAGACATCAGTCTTTTTATCCTTTGCTCATGAGCACCCTTGTCCGAGTCTCCACTCTCTTCTGGGTTGAGGTTCCAGTAGGCAGAGGCGGAGCGTCCATCCGAGTCCAGTGTCAACGCTGCATGTCTTGCCCATCAGACCCGTTCTAGTACAAAACTGCTTCGCAAGGTGTGATCTGTGAGGCCCTCCAGCTTCGAATACTTCATCCATAGTTTCCACACTCATGAAAGGAGGCCCTCAGCTCAAGCAGGAGCAGAGCAACTGGGTTACGATTTTTTCGTAGAAGTCCCTGATACCAAAGGACTTGGATTTGACCACCAGTGGTGCCTCCTTTGGTCTACTACTAAGGTTCTAAGTAAGTGTGGTGCTTGAATGGTCAGTTGTCCTAAGGCAGCTTGTCAGCCTCTGGTATCAGCAGGGCGGTGGTAGCCAGTGTCCTGAAGCATGGAGGCCATCCCAGAGCCATGAGCCTAACAAGGATGCCACTGGGCAATGTCAGGATCCCATGACCTGAATTGGGACTCCTATGGCTGTTGTTGTTGCTGCTGTTCATGGACGTGTAGGAAGAAAGGCTCCATTATAGCTGGCAATCCTAAGGCTGGGGCCGGAGTCAGGGCGTTTTGGGTTTGCTTACATGTTTTTCCTGATCAGCTTCTCAGAGGAAGGACTCTTTCCTCCCTTTAAGAGCTTTTATAGGGGCTTAGGCATAAGTGGGAAATCCAGGACCCTGATACCACAGAATCTTGCTATCTCCGAGAACTCTTACTGCATGAGGGGGCCAGGGGCGCAGCCAGCCTGCTTTTCCTGATGCCCCGTTGGTGCATCTTGTTTCACTATGAAACTTGAAGATTTGACCTCGTCAGAAAATGTATTTTTTTTTCTGGGACACCTTAGATCCAGCCTTCCAAAGTAGATAAAGAAGGTCTTTACTTTCTTGGTAGCAGTCTCACAGGTTGGGTCTGCCAAAAGGAGGTCACTCCATACTGTAGCAAGGGGCAGGTGTCTTCCAGTGTGATGAAGGCATTGAGGTCAGTGGGCAGTGCCTCTCTGCGACTGTAGGAGAGTTTCTGAGTCCTCGAGGAAGCCTGGTCCAGGTGAGCTGTTCCTTTAGACCATGACAGGTCTCCAGCTGTAGGTGTATCGTGCGTATCACCTCTGTGATGTATAACCTGCTGTGTTTAATTGCTTTGATCTGCTCCGTCTTGGCTTAGATCTGTGCCTCCAAGCTCTGACACAGATGCAGGCTAAGGTAGGAGGACTGCCAGGAGTTTGAGGCCAGCCTGGGTACATAGTGAGTTCAAGGCCAGCCTGAACTACATAGTGAGACCCTGTCTCAAAAGAAAAAAAAAATGTGGGGGGGAGAGATATGGAGAAAATTCATACGGAAATTAAAAAGTGTAGAAATTTTTTTTTTTTTTTTTTTTTTAAATATTTATTTTTATTTATTACATTTATTTATTGTGTGTGTGTGTGGCCAGCTCAGCCCACCAGGGGGCGGGTCTGGCTGGCATGTGGTGCTGGGGATCGAACCGCGGTGCCTGTGCTTTGCCAAGCTTGTTTCAAGTAGGTGCTTTAGACCACTGAGCCATCTCTCCAGCCCAAATGTAGAAATTCTAAATGTACTATAGGAAATTTTAAATGACTGGGCACGGTGGCATATGCTTGTAAGTCCAGCACTCAGGAGGCTGAAGCAGGAAGATCACCATGAGTTTGGGGCCAGCCTGAGTTACATAAAGAGACTATCTCAAAAAATGAAATTTTAAATGAGTCCCCTCCAACAAAAAAGAAATTTTAGATCACAAGTAATATTATTTTGAGGCTAAGCAAAAAATAAAAAGTTAAAAGTTCTGACTCTGTTTTAGAACCCAGGATCTAATAGAAAAGTAGACATAGGGCATGAATGAATATACAGTGCAAAAAAGAAAAAGTGAAAAAAGAAAAGCTGGGTGTGGCGTGCGTACCTATAATTCCAGCAGGCTTGAGGTTCAAGCCTTGGCCTTGGCAATTTAAGGACCTCTGTAATTTGAGACAGTCTCAAAGAGTTGGGAATGCAGCTCAGGGCTGGAGTCAATCCCTAGGATGCCTTTGCAAGTTGGCCAAATGTTTTAAAACTTAGAGTGGTGCTGGCATATGCCCCCAACATAACCACTCTCAGCCTGGGTGAGAATAAAAGTATATGTACCCTTCCTGCTGTAGGCTTTGCTACAAAGAACTAAGTGCAAACATGGACACATACAGCCAGGAAAATTCAGCCACATGCAAGGTTTTGGTAATAGAAAACTTATTGGTGGAATTACAAATTCTTACAAGGAAGTATTGTGTATCCCTTAAGAATTATGTTTTTGAAAAATATTGAATAACATAAAAATGTTCTCAGCATATTAAGTAAAAATGGTTTATAGCAGCAGCACCTGCTTGGTGTATGTAAGGCCCCAAGGCCTGGCACCAGAAAAAGAAAAGGTTTATAAAGGATCCTATTTTAGTCTCAATACATGTGTATCTTTTTGTATTATTTGCCTATAGTTTGTCTGTATATAAAGATAAATGTAGCAGAGAAAACTAAAATGGTATTTATCAGTTAAAGGGAGCCATCTCTTAATTACGTGATCACAGGTTTTAGTTCAAGGGAGGAAGAGTTTGACACAGGGTCTCACCACGTATTACACTGGCCTCACACTCACTGCTCAAGCCGTACTGGCCTAGGAGTGGGATCCTCCTGTCTCAGCTTCCCAAGTACTGGGATGACAAGCAAGTGCCACCATGCCTGGCTCTAAAATATGATTTTCAATATATTCTTAAATGAAATAATCTCTGTTTTAGACATATTTCATTATGTCTTAAAAGAAATTCACTTGGAAATGTTACGTTGGGATCGAGCTTGGCCTGCCAGCCCTAGCCTGTCCTGTGGGCTGCATCTCTGCACCTGTGAAGTGGGTTGGTGTGGATCCACAGCAGCAGCACAGCAGCGCTGGCCCACAGCTGCCTTCTAGAATAGACACGCAGCACCACTGCACCCACCACACCGTAGCACTTAACCAAAAAAGAGGGATCCTTCACTTGCCTAGCAAGCGCAAGGCCCTGAGTTCAATCCCCAGTACCGCAAAAAAAAAAAAAAAAAAAGAGAGAGAGATCCTTATATTGTCTTCAGAAGAAAAAATAAATGAGGAGGAAGAAATAGCAAGGCTAGACAAACAAGACGGGCTTATGCATGAGACAAGTCATGTAATGGAATATGTATAGCTTATAATCTACTTTTACAAATATTTGTTGTTCAGGTGAAGACGCCAGAAGGCAAGTTTCAGAAGACCAGTACTGGAGCTGTCAAAATGCAGCCAAAATCAATTGAGTTGAAGTTTGTCACCAAGAATGATGGCTATGTCCACATTCACCCTTCATCGGTGAACTACCAGGTCAGAACGGTGGCTGGTGCTTACGCTTGCATAAAACAGGTCCTGGGGTGAGAAACATACCCTCGGTCAGGCAGACTTGGCTTATGCTTACAGTCCTCTGGTCTGCTCCCCAGTAGTACCAGTGACTTAGAGAAGGATGTGTAAGTACAAAGAGCCGGGCAGGCAGACTCTGGAAAGATTACTTCCATTTCAAGGATATTCTAGTGGATACAAGAAACTGCTCAAGCCTGATTTCAGATGTCAAATTATGCTTCGCATTGGCGATTTAAGAAATCACAGGCTGATTACATCACTGACCTATTCTTGCCGTCCTTCTTCAGCTCTGTTCTTCCTTCCATCTGCTGCCGTGGGACATTTGTCTCCTGCCCCAACTCACCCAAGGTTATGAGTGGCCTCCTAGTTGTCAAATCAAGGACATCACCTGTCCTCATCCTTGCCTCTCACATGGTATTTGTCGTTGCTGACCTCCCTCCCTGTGGTGTACCTACACCCCCTGGCCCCTAAAGACAGAGAAACTTTTTGCGGGAGGTACCAGGAATCAAACTCAGGACCTCATGCTTGCCAGGCAGGTCCTGCACCACTAGGCTAAATCCTCGGCCCTATACACAGTGTCTTGATTCTGTAGGCACAGACTACTTCAGATCTTTCTCTTCAAAGCTGTCGCCTCTACTCACTATCTCCCGATGGCTTGCTCGCGCATGCACGCTCTCTCCCATCCTCTCTCTCTCCCTCTCCCCCTCCCTCTGTCTGTCTCTGTCTCTCTTTGTTCTTTATCTGCAGTGTAGACTATCCAGATCAGAATTCTGGAATTACGTGCCACTTAAAGAGTCCTGCATCGCCTTAATTTGATTCCAGTTGGTCAGCATGTTCAGGCAATGCCCCCTTTTCCTTTTTTTTTTTTTTTTTTTTTTTTTTTTCTTTTTTTTAGGGAAGAGTCTACAGGTTGGTCAATATCTCACGCCTAGATCAGACTCATAGTGATCCGCCTGCTTACAGCCTCCCAAGAGCTGGGATTACAGGCACGTACCACCACACCCAGGCTCAATTGCCATCTCTGTGCGCCCCGGGGGCGGGGCCGGCACAGCAGACCTGGGGATGAACCCCCTGTGCCTGCTTGTGGGTGCTTTAATCTGCTGAGCTATTTGACCAGCCCTATGAAAAGATTTTTTGTTTTGTTTTTTGTTACGCTGTTTTGTTTGTTTTGGTAATGATTGAGTTCAAACCCAGGGCCTTGTACGTGTTAGGTAACTGCTGTACTACTGAGCCACATCTCTGGCCACAAACGTGCAAAGTTTGAGTTGCTTATTAGACATATGAATAGAGATGGTAATCAAGGGAGAGGTGCTGGCCGGCATGTATGAGCCAGCTTTTCTGTTGCTGAGATGCAAAGATACAATACAAAACCCACAACTAGGGGAGGAGGCGGCTCACAGCTGGAGGGGTTCGGTCTATGCTCGGCTCCAGGACAGAAACATGACAGGAGCGCATGGCGGAACAGAGGCTTGGTTCAAAGTGCTGGAAGCAGGGCTGGAGAGATGGCTCAGTGGTCTAAAGCACCTACTTGAAACAAGCTTGGCAAAGCACAGGGACCGCGGTTCGATCCCCCAGCAC